AAGTACGCGAAACAAAGGCCACTTCCTCCCCCTCCCCTCCCTCCGTCTCTCCACCGCATTGTTGTTCGCGCCTGTCGCGTCCCTACCTCTTCTTCGCGTGCACTCGCGCGTTTAGCGCATCTTTGTCTTTTCCATCCACCTCTCTTCCCTCTTCGCCCCCTCCTCCCCGCGACCGCATCTCTTTTTCTACTCTTAATTTCGCGAAGGTACGCTTATTATTATTATTGTTGTTGTTGTTTCTCGTGTATATTTTTATTAATCGCGCATATTTTTGGAAATCATAGCCAAAGTGATAACACGCACTAAAAGATTAGTATCTTAGATCGTTAATAATTAAAAGAGAGAAAGAAACGTTGAATGTGTGTATAATTTTGTTTCAATTAATATGTGAAGGAATTATATATATATATTGTTTCCCAAAAATTTTTTTCTAATTTTTAAAGGAAAAAAAGAAAAGTTTTTTTATTTATTAATTTGTACTTAATTATAATTATAATTAAAGGGCTAATTAAATATTTTGTATTGATTTTTTTTATTAATATGTGAAGAGAATATATATTATTTAAAAAAGAAATTTTTTCTTTAAGTTTTGTGATTGGAAGAAAAGAGAGAAAACTTTTTATTTATTAACTTGTATTTAATTATAATTACAATTAAAGGATAATTAAATATTTTGTATTGTATTATATTTTTTTTCTTATCTGTATTAATAATATCAGATCGATATAATTTGTTTTGGCACTTCATGATTAGAGATGTCGCACATTTTCGTTTTCAGCGAATTTTTATGATGTAAGCTAATAATGTGAAAAGCTTGACAATTTAATTATGAAAAAATTTGAAAAAAAGAAATAATAAACAGAGAACGCTGCGCCTTTAATCGACTGTACGGAAAAATTCATACAAATTATCTTTTTGAAAAATTACATCAAGATGACTACACTGTGGGAAAAATTTTTTTAAATCAAATAAATTTGTCTTCTTGAAACTTTTGCTTTAAATGGAAGGAATTGTTTATTTCACTTAAGCAAAAGCATTTAATTTTACTTAAATATGCATGTTATATTAAGTACAATATTTTCATTTATATATTTTTTATATTTAAATACTATTTTCGTAAAATATATACTATAATTTATTAAATTAAATATATAATTTTTTTAAATTAAAAAATTCAACATTTTCGGGAATAAAAAATGCAATGCATGTTAATAAATATTTTGTAAACTTAAAATATAAAAACATTTAATTCAAAATTATATTCTTTTAAGCATATATATATTTTTAAAAATATGTAAATAAATACTTAACTTAAGCAAACAGATGTTTTGAATACAAGTAAATACATGATTAGTGCCCACCGAATAAATAGCTTTCTTGAGTTAACTAAAATTTTTTTATTTCCAAATAATTTTTTCCTCAGTGTAGCGCGACATGGGATAAAGGTTTTTTCTTGTGCAAAAGCAGGGCGGTTTTAATTTTCGAACTTTAACAAGTGGGAGTTAAGGGCGCCTGGCGTTCCTTCTGTTCTCCCGCGAAAAAAAAAATATAGGTCGCCCCGTCGTTTCGCGAAAGCGAAACTGTGTCCTCCGGTAGGTCCTGGGTCTCCCGGGTCGTTCGCCGCGGGTCTTTCTCAAGGTTGTTTGCGCCGCTTCGAAAGCTCGCCGCGGCTCTCGCGATGGCAACCTCCCGATGGGCGATGAGAGTGGGTCGGCCTACTAAAAAATCGATACGTACGAAAGTGAGAGTCGTTCCCTCGGTCGTTCCACCCTCCTTTTTGTTCCTCGCGCTCCCTCTTCTTACTTGCCGTTTGGTTCATTCATGTCGTCGTCGTCGTCGTTGGTGGCCTTCGATGCGCCCGATGCCTAGACGTGCAGCAATTTACGCTCGTGCAGTCCTGAACAAAGTTAATCTGATGCCCGTAAAACGCACACACACGCGTAAAGTGATGGATTTAAAGGGATTTCGGGACTCTTTCGCGCACGCGATCCGGTCTGCGAAGGACATTTAGGATTTCCCAAAAAAAAGAAAAAAATAATTTTATGACACTCTATCATGATTTTTATCAGTTTTTCATTATAAGATGCACGATAAATGGTGTGAAGTTTTTAATGAATTAACGGATTTTTTTCTATCTAATATTATACGAGGTTTTTTTACAAATAAATAGAAACGCTCTCGTATAAAGAAAGATTTGATAAAGGGCTCCATAAAGTCTAGAAATTCTTAATTCAATCAATTCAGTCAATTTTTTTATTATATTTTATTACAATTCTTTTATTATTTTTAATGAATTAACAAATTTTTTTCTATCTGATATTATACGAGGTTTTTTTATCACAAATAAATAGAAATTATCTTGTATAAAGAAAGATTTGATAAAGGACTCCATAAAGTCTAGAAATTCTTAATTCAATCAATTCAGTCAATTTTTTTATTATATTTTATTACAATTCTTTTATTATATTTTTACTAATTCAGTCAATTTTTCATTATAAGATGCATGATACATGGTGTGTAGGAGTTTTTAATGAATTAACAGATTTTTTTCTATCTAATATTATACGAGGTTTTTTTTATCACAAATAAATAGAAACGCTCTCGTATAAGGAAAGATTTGATAAAGGGCTCCATAAAGTCTAGAAATTCTTAATTCAATCAATTCAGTCAATTTTTTTATTATATTTTATTACAATTCTTTTATTATATTTTTACTAATTCAGTCAATTTTTCATTATAAGATGCACGATACATGGTGTGTAGGAGTTTTTAATGAATTAACAGATTTTTTTCTATCTAATATTATACGAGGTTTTTTTTTTGTCACAAATAAATAGAAACGCTCTCATATAAAGAAAGATTTGATAAAGGATTCTATAAACTCTCTAGAAATCCTGAACGAAATATACTATAGTTGATACAGTATCGTATTTAGACAAACAATGTATATAAAGTATATAAAATCTATCAATCTTCCAAAAAACATTATTACTAGAAATGATTTGATTTCTAGAAGATTAAAGTAAATTAAATTTGTTAATAAATTATTTTACTAACACATTTTCTAATTAGAATTATTTAATTTCATTTATTTTACTTTCTATTTTCGTATTTGTTTCGATTCTTCCTTTTTAATATACAGGGTGGGGCATTTATCTTGAGACAAGATAATATCTCGATTGGAGTCGATTATTTTGAAAAAAGTTTTAGACAAAAGTTGTATGGTTTCAAGGGGGACATAAAATGGTGTCATTAGTTTGATCTTGAAGAGCCACCTGAAGGACACGCGAAGGTCAGCTCCAACTTTTTAAATGGGACACCCTATATGCTTTTGCATATTCTTGTAGCTCATCTCAAGAGCTTTCCAAAACACTATAATTAAGTTAGTTTTCATTAAATACTTTCCAAGTTATGAGGCTTGAAATCATTTTTTAATTTTACATAAAAAATATGTAATTGTTAATTGCAAATTACATTTTTTTTTTCGAAACAACTATGAGTTTTCTTTACACCAATTGATTCCTCTCATTATTTTGTACATAAAAGTATTAAAGTAAAATAATCGAAAAATGAATATTTTACAAGATATTTTACGGTTTATGTAAAATTAAAAAATGATTTCAAGCCTCATAACTTGGAAAGTACTTAATGAAAACTAACTTAATTATAGTGTTTTGGAAAGCTCTTGAGATGAGCTACAAGAATATGCAAAAGCATATAGGGTGTCCCATTTAAAAAGTTGGAGCTGACCTTCGCGTGTCCTTCAGGTGGCTCTTCAAGATCAAACTAATAACACCATCTTATGTCCCCCTTGAAACCATACAACTTTTGTCTAAAACTTTTTTCAAAATAATCGACTCCAATCGAGATATTATCTTGTCTCAAGATAAATGCCCCACCCTGTATATATAATGTGTACGAGCTTTTGATCAATTAAAAAATTTTTTTCACTCTAGTATTACCTTTCTGTGAGTATAAATATATAAATAGAAATACTCTCTCATTTTAGGAAGATTTAATAAATAGCAAATAAATTAAATGAACTAGAAAAAAAACTCTTAACGAGAAGCATTCTTGTTATAATCGTATAAATTAAAAATAATCCATCAATCTATCAAAAAACATTGTTTTGAAAAATTACTTGATTTCTGAAAAATGTTATTTAAATTCATTAATAGAAATATATATACATATATATATATTTTTTATCTAAATTAATAATAGTTATTTAATTTCCTTTTATTGCGCTCATATTTTTTTTCAATTGTGTTGTCGAATATTTATAGTAACTTAATAAATCTAACTTAAATATATAATTATATTTAATATAATTATATAGATTTATATTAAATATAATTTACATTAAAATAAAATTACATAAAATTACATGTCTAATGTACATTAAATATAATTATATTTAATTCATATTGAAAATAATTTACATGAGATATAATTATATTTGATTTATATTAAATACAAAATTACGTATTAAATAAATATATAATACATTAACACATTTTGTGCTTCCAATAGCAACACGCTGCTAATCGAGCATATCATGTCAGGTTGTAAGACAACAACATAACGGCCTAATGTAAACAGACCGACTTCTCGGTAGGTTACAACTCGGCACTTTCAGAGTTTATTCGACGATTATCGCGCCGGAATCTCGCTCCTCGTCGGGGAAGCGTGTAATTCTGTCAGAGTCTTACATGGCCGCGCTCTTCCTTCGTTTGCAGTCTCTACTCGGTCCAGATAACAAAATGGATACAACTTGGATAGAGAATGGATACGTCCAGCAGATACACCCGCACAACTTGCAGTAGTACTGAGATATCTTTCATTCCTTATCGCGTAATCAGTGTGCAATTAACGATTATTCGGGGAGATATCGGCTTAATATCTCACGGATCTCATTATATACGTGTTTGTGTGGCATCCTTCGGTGGGAAATAATTCCTTCGGTCTTAATTCCAAGTGTTATTTTCCTGTGATTTCAGCAGCAGCGGCGTCGCCAAAGTCCTGGTGAGCAACCTCCCGGCCCACGCCCGAATAGAAGATCTCGAGGGATTGTTCTCCAATTACGGCCAGGTACAGAACATCGAGAAGCTGTCGTCGCGGGACTCAAATACGCAGACCTTACTCGTCAGCTATGAGACGCAGGAACAAGTACAGCAGTAAGTGATAGAAGATATCTCTTTCTTTCTTTCCTCTTGCGTTTTTGCAAGAGATCGCTCTTAATATTGTCTTGCAAATTTCGAAAGATCAAGATAAGATTTTTCATTAATTAATCAAAATAATACACTGAGATTGTCAAGATTACACATCGCAGAATTACACTGTATTATAATTGAATTTATTTAATTATTGAATGAAATTCAATATATATACAATTAAATTTATAGTATATTTATAAATTATAATATATATAATTAAATTTTATATATATATATATAATTGAATTTATTTAATTATTGAATGAAATTCTTTAAATTTGTATAATATATATATATATATATATATATATATATATATATATAAATATATATTTATTATATATGAATTCGTGTCAATTATCGTAATACAGACTTGGGATTCGATGCTTTTATCATAGAAAAAATTGCGTATACACGTCAAAAAAATAAAATATTATAACATTTTTCACATGTCCCAGAAAGTCCACTCTCAATTTTAAGTTAAAATAACTCATTCGTCGTGTGTTATTTATTGACAAACTAAAAATGTTATAATTGACACAATACTTAACATTTATTTTTGTTACTGTGACTTTAAGTGTAATGTAAAAATAACATACAAATTAATTAAAAATGACATGAAAAAATAGTTATAATAACTCGTAAGAAATGTTGAGGATATTAACATACAATAGTAATTGTTTTAATTTAAATTATTTGTAATAGAAACATTTGATTTTAGTAAATTTGATTATTCATGTTTGTCAAAGTTTAAGATTATTTCAAGATTCACTTGAACTTTTCTTAGAATGTTAAACTGACTTTGAGACATGTTGATTGCTTAAAATGATTATGTTAAAAATACTCAAAATAATATTCCATTTCTAAGAGACAAGTATGCAAGTGTACAAAGTGTTAAGTTATGAAAGTGACATAAATGTAATGCATGAAAACGTTATAAAAATAATAACATATAAGTTGTATGTTAATTTTACATTAAAGTACTAATCAAAACGCGATAACACAGGAAAATTTTAATTTTATATGGGCGCACAATTGTTTACTGTGTAAATATCAATACTTATAAATAATATTTCTTTTTCGCAAAATTATAGAAAAAAAATATTTAGAAATATTTATTATTTTAAATATTTTAAATATTTAAAAATATTAGAAATAAAAATTGATATTTTCTTTAGCATGAATACATGAAATATTTGATGCGATTATTTATACGAGTTTCATAAAATATTCTTAAGATGTAGGTCATGAATGACCAGGTACCTGACCTGACGGAGGGTTCAAATTAAGGCCGCACGAGATACCAAATCTTAATATTGTCTTGTTTTAAATTTCGAAACAAGATCAAGATAAGATTTTTAATTAATTAATCAAAATAGTAGACTAATATGTCAAGATTGTCAAGATTGCAGAATTGCTGTATTATATAATTGAATTTATTTAATTATTGAATGAAATTCCTTAAATTCATATAATATATATAAATATTATATATTTATTATATATTATATAGTATTTTGGAAAGCTAAATAATTGTGTAAAATTTTAATTTCTTAATATAATTTTCAATTATTAAATAAAATTCTTTATGTAAATTCATATAATATATATAGTGTAATTCTTTCTTATCTCTAATTTACAAATATACATATTTTAGCTTTTTGTAAAAACCAATGATCCTGATAAGTTCAATAATGATGATGACAATCTTAGTCTTGATTTATTTTAATTAACTAATTAAAATACTGCATAGATATATTATATATATATATATATATATATATATATAAACTTATATATTTATATATTAATAATATTATATAATATTATACTATTATATAAATATATATATATATATATATATATATATAGTATATATTTATAAATACTATTAATATTAATATATTTAACACACATATATGTATAATTTTCTTCTCTCTTTTTAAGATAATATAAATTATCTTAAATTATTATGTTACAAAAATTATATTAAATTATTTTAAGCCATTATTCAGAAATAGATAAAAATTAAATTAATAAACTCAAGACAACATTTTAAAAAGATTCATTCAAGACCAAAACGAAACTCGAGTTTTCGAAAATTTCCAACCAATACAATATATTTACAAATATCCTCTCATCTCGAGTCTTGCGCAACCCTAGTTAACTCGCAAGTAAACCTGATTGATTCCTTGTAATCTCGACAATTTTTTTCTTAAAAGCGTAATAATAACAATTTCCTTTTTTCTGTTATTTAACAATTTCCCTGTGTCTCGCAGCGCTGTGAACCAGTTGAATGGCTACGAGTACGACGGCAATCCGCTGAAAGTGGAGATGTCCTCGGCGGAGGGCCGACGAAGGGGCCGCAGCCAGCGCGGCGGCGGCGTCGCCTTCTCCGGGTTGCCGGGTTCCGGTCGTCAGACCGACTTCCCGCTACGCATCCTCGTCCAGTCGGACATGGTGGGCGCCATCATCGGCCGGCAGGGCTCGACGATACGGCAGATCACTCAGGTGTCCCGTGCCAGAGTCGACGTTCACCGCAAGGACAACGTCGGCTCCCTGGAGAAGGCCATCACCATCTACGGCAACCCCGAGAATTGCACGAACGCCTGCAAGAAGATTCTGGATGTCATGCAGCAGGAGGCAGCGTCTACGAATAAGGGGTACGACGACGTCGCGAGTCGCGTTGATACTCCCAAAATGGAACCGTAATAAAATCGTCGTGTGATCGTCGAATCGGTCGAACAATATAAGTTAATCTTAGACGGATTCCCCTTGCATATATTTTTTTTTCATCTGGATCATGTATCACAAGCAGTGTTTGCTGTAATTTCAAAATTATCTAGGTAAAGATAAAGATAAAAATCCGTAAATTTATCTTAGATGAGATAAAGATTATTTTGCTTTTACTTAATCTAGATGAAAGATGAGATGATTATTGCGATTGATGATTATTAATCTAGATAAGAAAGATGAGATGATTATTGCGATTGATGATTATTAATCTAGATAATTATCTAGATATTTTAGAAGACTATAAATATTTGTAAAAAATGTGACGCAGATTATAAATAGGATATTAAAATCATAAACACATATTCTTTCTCTTTTTCTAAAGAATATTTAAATAATAGTAAAAAGGTATATATAAATGATATGATAAATATTTATTTATTAATTTATATTTATAATATATTTATAATATAATAATAATAATAATAATAATGTAAAAAATATATTTTAGATATTTTAGATAGATTTTTAGAAGCTTGCCTGGAAAACTTTTTTGCATAATGAAAACGTCATCTTAGAATTTTTAGATAAGATGACATATTTTTCATCTAAGATAAAGATAAAGATACTTTGTATTTCTTCATCTAATCAAAGATAAAGATGATCCATTTCTTTATCTAGATGATTATCTAGATAATTTTATTTAGATAAGCAAACACTGATCACAAGTGTATTCGAATTTTGTCACTTTTTAAATTTTATATTTAATTAATTATATTTAATTATTTAATTTACGATAAGTGCGATCCTTGCGTAATTTATATTGCTCGACTGAAGTAATGTCTCTTTGTGCACGAACGAATCGATTGATATTGATATTATTGTCTGTCGACAGAGAGATCACCCTCAAGATCCTCGCGCATAATAATCTCATCGGTCGAATTATCGGGAAGGGCGGCAACACCATCAAAAGAATTATGCAGGACACCGATTCCAAGATCACCGTCAGCAGTATCAACGATATCAATAGCTTTAATCTCGAGCGCATTATTACTGTTAAGGGAACGATCGAAAACATGAGCAAGGCCGAGTCCATGATCTCCAGCAAACTGCGCCAGAGTTACGAGAATGATTTGCAAGCTATGGCTGTGAGTCTTATTGCCTTCGCGCTTCTTCAATTCTAGATGTCATGTATCAGTTTTAAAAAATTTTTTTTAAAGAATATAAGGACATTAACCCATTCAGACCCTATGTACACAATTATGCACAAAAACTTTAAAATCATGTGAAATAGTTATTTTTTAGAATTAGTTTCCCTGCGATCTCTCGGATTGGACTTGGAAACTAATTCCTAATTCTTAAAAAAATATATATATCTCGTCGTTTTAAACCCTTAGCATCAATAAAAATTAATTAAAATATAGAATAATTATGAATAAAATATAGAATAAATAAAATATAGAATAAAATATAGAATAATTTTTTATATTACCAGAAAAAATTTAGGTCTAAATGGGTTAAGAATCTCTGATTTGTTTTATACGTGCACTGAGAAAAATGGTTTGATTGTACCAACAAGACGTATATGATTGAAGACATTTTGATTAAATCAAACAAGAATTTTTAGTTACCATGATAAGACTCGATTTTTTATAACTAGAATGTTCAATAGATTTTACTATACTATACTATATACTACTTTACTAAGGATTTGATTAGTATTTTCTGGTTGAATCTATAAAATTTCTTGTTACATTAATTTCTTTGCTTGCCACTCTTAACTTAACTCGTATTCAATATTTGCCACAAAATGTATATAAAGAACTAGTATTAACATTAAATCCAAAGTATATTTTTTTTTCTTACAGCAGTAGTGCCAGAAAGAGGACGCTAGCTCTCTGATTGTGTGTGTTTGAGCTGCATCCTCATCTTGCATCACTGTTTATCACTTTAATTTCTAATAAACTGAATTAAAAATAATTTATTCAATAATCTGGATTGAATTTATCCAATAATCTTGTTTGAATTCAGAATATTAAACAGACTTTTGAGATTAGATGGAAAAAAATTTTAGACGACTTGATGCTGATGAGTTTAGTATTATTAACCAGAAAATATGGTAAATTTAACAGAAAGAAATTAATCAGATTCACCTGATAATTCCTACAAGAATTCTGGTTCGTCCATTTTCCAACAGACATACTGGTTGAATCTACCAGAATTCTAATTAATGCAACCAGATTTTTTTCTCAGTGTGGAATATGAAAAATTGAAAAGTTTAGAATAGAAAATCTTTCGTCAAACTTTTGCTTAAATGTACTTTGTGCCCTTGATTTCTCGAAGATCTCTGAAGATTGCTCGTTGCGTAATGTAATAAAATTATTGATCGATGTGTTTAGCCGCAAAGCATGATGTTCCCCGGTCTTCATCCGATGGCCATGATGTCCACCGCCGGAATGGGCTACAGCTCCCGCGGACCCGGCCTCTATGGCTCGGGACCCGCCCCGTATCCCTACCAGAGCAGCCTACCTACTCAACAGGGCGTCCCCGCTAGCGACACTCAGGAGACGACCTTTCTATACATTCCCAACAATAGCGTCGGTGCCATCATCGGCACCAAGGGCTCCCACATTCGTAATATCATCAGGTTCTCTGGAGCCAGCGTCAAGATCGCGCCTCTCGAACAGGACAAGCCGGCCGAGCAGCAAACCGAAAGAAAGGTCACCATCATCGGCTCCCCGGAATCTCAGTGGAAGGTAAACATCATCGTCATCTCTTGGTGACGACTTTTTGCATCTTGTGATTCTCTTGAAATTTGCATCTCGAAATTCTTTTCGATAAAGTTTAAATAGGGATAACATTTTGTAAAAATATATCCTGGATTTGGTAATGATTGATAAGAATCTATTGTAATCGCTATGGACGTTTTAGTGTTCGTGTAACTTCGATGCCGTATTGGCAGATAGGAATTAGCGTCAGACTGGCGTTGCAAAGGGTCGCGAGTTCAAATCTCAGCATGATACTTAAAAAAAATATCCTTCAGTTACCCTGCTGAATTTTGGGTAGATGTTGTCTTTTATGCATCAACTTGAATCAGCAGGAATATCAAAGACAAGGGCCCCGTACCGATCTCGTCGAACCCAATGCGAGGATCGGTTCCGTTTGACCCTTCAACATTTTTTCCCCTCTTTTTCATTATTTTCTTTCTTCTTTTCATCTTTTCTTCTTCTTTTTTTCTTTTTTTTTTTTACATTTAGTTTCTTACGATCTACCGATCCTTAAGACAAAAATTCGAATTTATCTTTACCTTGATTGCATCATTGAAATTGAATTGCGATTTCAGGCCCAGTACTTGATCTTTGAGAAGATGCGGGAGGAAGGCTATGTCGCAGGCACTGAAGACGTTAGACTGACCATTGAGATCCTCGTGCCCAGCACCCAAGTCGGTCGTATCATCGGCAAAGGCGGTCAAAACGTTAGAGAGCTGCAACGCGTGACCGGTAGCGTCATTAAACTATCGGAACAACAAGCCACTCCTCCTTCAGCTGAAGAAGAGACCACCGTCCATATCATTGGCCCGTTCTTCTCCGTTCAGGTAGAATAAATGCGCCTCCTCAAAGTAATTTTACGCCTGAATGCACAAATTTTATTTGATAAAATTACACAGGTCTGCAAAAAAGGGAGTCAAAATTTCTTTTTTAAGATGCAATGGTGATTTTTGACGTAATTTTGTGCGCTGAATCCGAATCTGGCCGCCGAATTTGCGTATCACGTCAGGTTTTTGAGTTATTTGTAGTTGAATAGCCCAAAAATCGCTATTTTGGCCACTTTCATGAATTTATTGTGAGTAAACCAAATTTTTTGAAATATTTCTGTCAATGGCATCGTATAGTACTCACTTTCATCTTTCGAATCCACTTTCGATCACCACCGCACGATTTTTTTTCGCTCAGATATACAAGTTATAAGACTGGTCATGCATAGGGATTTAATAAGCCATTCTAAATCAACCGTGCCACCTCTCTATCTCACTACGAATCAAAATTAGAGTAAAAATATATATTTTTAAATACCTTCTGTCACCTTTTGAAATTAAAAATGGCGCATCCAATATGGCGAATAGAATCACAATAAAAAGGCATAAAATTTAAAAAAATTTATCAAAATGTGTAACAACTGTATTAGACATTTCTTTACAATATTTTTTTGGCCAACCGAACCTGACATATGTCAGTCTTTTCAAATTTCAAGATCATGGATCTACCATATTGATGTCTATATAAATTTTCTTTAACGTAAATTTTCTTACAACGTCATACTTATATATCTCAGCGAAAAAAAATCGTGCAGCGGTAATCGAAGGTGGATTTGAAAGGCGAAAGTGAGTATTATACGATGCCATTGGCAGAAATATTTCAAAAAATTTGGTTTCCTCGCAATAAATTCATGAAATTGGCCAAAATAGCGATTTTTAAGCCATTTAATAACAAATTACTCAAAAACGTGACGTGCTACGCAAATTCGGCGACCAGATTCGAATTTAGCTCACAAAATTACGTCGGAAATCACTATTGCATCTTTAAAAAAAAAATCTCGCAGGCCTGTGTTATTTATTGACTCGATATAAATTGAGAGAAAATGGTAGAAACAATTTCTTTACTCGAATCATTTGTCTCGCAGTCGGCCCAGAGAAGAATCCGCGCCATGGTCTTGCAATCGGGCACCCCCGGAGGAACCAGCGGAGCTGGCTCGCGTGCCGGTCGCGGTAGCAGCCAGGAGGGCGCGTCCCGTTCCAAGAGAGACGGCAGCGCTACCTCTCAGGGCGGTGCGACGTCGCAGCCCCAGCAATCGAGCGGTTCACCATCCAGCCAGCAGCAGCAGCCGCCACAATCGCCGCAAAGCCAGTAACGTCGATGACATCCACATTGACGCGGACCGACGCCTATCCGTTTTATTCGCCGGAGTGGCCTCGTCGTCGCTTTGACATTCTCTCTCGTCGAGAGGCCGAGCTTAACACGACCACCTCCTCCTCTCGCGAGGCACGAAATCCTCCCCGGCGGGGGAGGGCTTTGAACGAGAGTGCGCGACGCGCAGATTGTGACGGGAAGACGCGCTGAGACAACGTTTCTGAGAGTTAACTCGACATCAGCCACGATCGATTCTCGAACTCTCCGAACCCTGCGAATTGATTCCCGAGAATTTCCGCTTTCTGCGAGCGTGATCCGGGAGTTATAATATAAGACAAGTTGACGAGAATTCCCCGGGAATGAATTCGTAGCGTCTCGGCGAGCTCGGCGGCGAGTTAATTCTGAGAATTCGCGGAGGATTCCAATTTCGAGGGATCCGAGACCCGATGTAAATGTAACTGTCAGTCAACGAGGCTCTCCGTTCGGTTTGACACGCGCGTCTATCGTGATCGACCTCGACTTTAATCGTCAACGAATGATGCTCCGCGTCCTGGACGTCTCGTCGCCAATGGGAAACGCAATTGTTGCGAAACGAAATCGATCGCATTGGCTGGAAATCGCGATTCTCCAGTCGACGAAAAATCTGACAGGATCGACGAAGGATCGAGCGAGGACACACGAGGGACGTACTCGCTGCGACCGAACGGAAGAACGCCAAAAGCGTACTAATCTAAGCTGGCTCGGCTCCAGCCCAAGATACACTGCCGGTTTTACTTGATCACTCTCGTTGACCAAGGGATTAACCGTGTCGTTTTCCCCTTCGCTCTACGCGTCGCGTCCACATCCTGCGACAACGACAAAGCGACACGTGTGACCGCGCACGACCCGATTTCGCAGCGCTATAACGAAACCACCGCCGCCGATGAAATAGGATACGATGATTTGAGAGAACAAACTGATAAGGCATTAAAGAAAAAAAAAATAATAAAAAAGAGAAAAACACACAACCTTATTACCTCATTGCATTACGGTTAAAGATTTAATACGATAGAGGAAAGTGAAACGTGCGGGAGAAAGGATAAACCGATTAATCTAAAAAAAAAAAAAAGAAGTCTATCTAATATTAAAGTTATTAATAATATACAGAGAGAGAAAGTTAAGTGACAATTACATATTACGTTATACCTGTTATTACATACTACTACTGCAACTATTACTATTATTATTACATACTACTATTATCGCTATATACTATTTACTTACTTCTTAACTAGAACTACAGGAGGAAAGCGGTTTTTCTTAAAAGCAACAACAAACGGATGCAAAAGCGCAAACTTAGATACACAGTTTTTTATATATCACAATCCAACAAGAGACGTTACATTGAAATAATATGGGACTTAAAGAGTAACCATAGAGACACCGTGAACACCGTGGGACAGCGACTCGTTCCCGGTCGTCGACATTAAAATAAGTCAGGATGCCTCAGGAGGAGAAAAACAATAAAGTGACTCCTACGCCCCCATCCCGCCCCTCCTCGCACCATGTAATACCAAAGAAGAAGCGACTATGAGTTTTTTCGTATTAGTGAAGTGAAATGCGTCGTGTACGCTCTATTCACCTCAAGTTCCTCAAGAGCCGCGAGAGTGAGAGAGAGAGAGAGAGAGAGAGGGGTCAGATAGATAAAGATGGGAGGGGAGATCGACGAGCAGTCATCAAGATGTCGAGAACAGCGCCGACGAGATATCGAGTCGCTTGGCACGGATGATTGATGGCGATGAAAACAGAAAAAAAGAAAAATCGAAAACATGGAACTAGAGAGAGACAGAGAGAGAGAGAGAGAGAGAGAGAGAGAGGTAGCAAGAGAGGAAGCAAAAGTCCTAGCGTATGGTACGATACGAACTGGCCGTATTTGTGCCGTATTTTTAAAGAGTGTTACTGAAGAACGTTTCTCCAGCACAGGGAGAGATTGAGAAGAAAGCGACAGTCGGTACGCACGCAAGAACAACAGCAAGAGAGATGGAGAGGAAGAAGAGAGAGAGAGAGAGAGAGAGAGCGAAGGAGGGGAGACAAAAAGAATAACCGATACAACTTCAGGGATTTTTACTTTTATCATGAATGTAATAATGTGTGAGTGTGCGTGTGTTAATAATAATTATTCGATAAGTAATTGATTACTGATTAGGAGTTAGACGGCGAGGAGAAAGACGTAAAGAAAATTAAATTTAGGCTTAACGCGAAAGAGAATTAAGAGGGGTAATCGAGACTTAAGAGGGTAAAAGAGAGGCAGGAGAGTCTAGCATCGGCGATTTTCTTCGCCGATGCTAGTCTCACGTGCCGCCCACGTTATAGATGGTGGTCGTCGATATGAGATGAAGCCTTCGCGCGCCGTCCTAATGAGCCTCGCAATTTTGGCTGAAATTGTGAAACGTCAGAGGACGAGAACCGCGAAGCGCGACGATTTCATATCGATATCGTGACTCGCAGCGTGTACCCTTGTCCATTATTATTCCGCTACGTACGCAGGGCTGAGAGAGAGAGAGAGAGATATTCCCTTTTTGAAGGTAACCTGTGAATAAATATTCGGAAGGATATGAAATGTGATATTTCATGTCGATGTCAAAGATTGACAATGTTCTTCCGGAAATTACGAAAATAACGTAGCGGAGTATCGATGGATGCACGTCGCGATCACTGTATGTTTCGAGTTTTGAGGAGATTCCGAAGAGACGTGAAGAGAAAGAGAGAGAGAGAGATTCGGACGGATCGATAGGGAGATCAAGGCGGAAAGTGCGAGATGAAGAACGCTATGAAATCAAATAAATTCGAGGAAACCGCCTCTCTACAGAGCGGTCGTGTACTCAGCATGACCAAGAAAAATTCAACAAACACAAATGGACTAACCAATTATGTAATAACCAATCATGGCCCGCAGTCTCGCGTTGTTCAAGCTCGACGTGTTGTTATTGATTCGCGAATGAAATCTGGCGCTTATTCTCTCTTTATAATTATTATTATTCGATTATCCATGTGTCATCTCGCTCTGACTTGTTCGGACTTATTCGGACTTGTTCGAACTTGTTCGGACTTATTCGGACTTGTTTGAACTTGCTCGGATTTGTTCGAACTTGTTTGGACTTATTCGAACTTGCTCGGATTTGTTTGAACTTGCTCAGATTTGTTCGAACTTGTTTGGACTTATTTGAACTTGCTCGGACTTATTCGAACTTGCTTGGACTTGTTCGAACTTGCTCGGATTTGTTCGAACTTGTTTGGACTTGTTCGAACTTGTTTGGACTTGTTCGAACTTGCTCGGATTTGTTCGAACTTGTTCGAACTGTTTGAAAATTCGAGACTCTTTTCCATCGATCGAGCTTAACGATGCAAGATTGAAGCGGCACCGGCCATATGGAACTCCACAGGGTGTGCCCATTGGGTCTGCTGGATCCTCCACGGACCCAGCCGGTTTACAAATCTCGACTTTCGGTATGCGCTTAGTACAAAGATACACGAGTTTAAGGATGGATAAGACTAATCGAGTTTTAAGAGAGACGCAGGATACGGGAGATATAATAGAGAGGTGTAATATCGTGTTTAATCGCGTTTTTGTTTTTTTTATATCTCTTTCGAGGAAAGCTGAGGATATGAAATTTCGATGATGCGCGCGCGCGTGAATATTATAATAAGATCGTAACTTGCAGCGGAAAACGAAGATGTGCATTTGATTCGTAGTGTCTTCGATTCTGAACAAAGTTTAATTTCATCATCGGAGTGTTAAATTTTGAATACAGTTCGATTTTTTTTTTGTATATCTTTCGGGAAATAGCTTTTCGTAAGCTAAATTAATGGACACTATTTATGGATTAATTTATATATAAATAATAAAACATATATGACTTTTTTTCTTTCAAAAATGAAATTTTTTTAAAGAAAAATCAGTTATTTACCTTGTTTAAATTCAATTTATGTTTATGAAAGTAAATTTAGAATGAAAGGGGGAGCATATTTGTCTCATTTTTCGAGTTTGAGAGAAAATCGATTGAATCAAGATTAAAATTAAATCGTGGCGAGAAAAATGGAGCTCATCAAAAATCGGCTCGATGATTAAACGAGGATCGAGATGAAGCTACGAGAATGCCAGTCTTCCTTTTCTCCGCTGCATCGCACTCCGATGGATGTGCTTAAGCACAAACGCACACGAATAAAGGGGGAAATAGATAGGATAGAATGAGAAGGTAGAATGAAAGAGGGAAACACGAGTCTAAGAATGTAGGTTTATTTTTGATACATTGTTGGGGAGATTCTAAGCGAATCTTTCTTTCTCAATATTAATTTTTTTTTTTGTTAGATGTTTTTAACAACTTAATAAATTTTAACGATATTAAGGATATGAGAAACCAGCGAGAGATTCTTTTTTTTAACGTAAGATTAAGAGCGTGAGAGAGAGGAAAGAGGCAGAGTAATTCTCATGGGAGAACGCGTATAAATTATAACGTTATAGAGGGAGGGTATTAATTAATCGAGGGACGAATCAGGAGGACGCGTTGCGCAGCTTTTTGCGCTGCGCTCGCTCGCTCGCTTTTGGGAGGGGAGGGGTGGGTGGGAGGGAGGGAGGGGGGAGATCGCGCAAGGGAGATTTTTTAGTCGGGTATAAATTTGTATATTATATTTAATAATATATTTCGAAGAAGCGGCGATTGCGGATCCGCTTGGCGAGATCTGTTCCCGGGGAACCTCGCAGTTTTATGCGAGGAACCTCGGTCATTGTACTCGATAATGATGAGTATCGCCCGCAGATCCGCATCCCGCGGTTATTTATCAAGCGTAAATATTTAAATGATGAGATATAGAGGGGGAAATAGTGAGAGAAAGATAGAAAGAGAGATTTGTATTAAAGCTTGTAAAGAAAAAAAAATTGCGAAGAAAGTGCCAAGAAACAAGAGAGAACACGCTCGCGTAAAACCAAAATAAATACAATACAGAGCAATAGATTGAAACAACAGACATGGAGAACAATCGGGAAAAAAAACGACAAAACGCAAGAAAGGAATAAATAGCCATATATATATACAGAATTATAAAAGCACAAAGAGATACAGCACAAAAAAAAATGGAACGAGCCCTTCGTTTATTCTCACGATCGATGACATCATTTACGCTACTTCGATAATTCATTTATCTTTTTAGTTTTTTTTTTTTTTTATTTTTTTTATTTTTTTCCTCTTTTGGCCCGCACTTCAAAATTTCGTGAGTCGATGAGGAGAGAATAGCCCGGTCAACGCAGAAGAGAGGAGAAGCAGGACACGCAAAAAGCGAGACACGTGAATCGCCCCTATTTCAGAAATCGCTCCTCGTCACCAGTGAGAGGACCCTGGCCAAAAGGGGCCTCGTCGAGCTGGCCTTCGACGGGGGGATTATCACCCAACCCGCCCTCTTTTGGAATATCTCTTTCTAAATTGAGCAAACGACAGAAGCTTTCATTCCGACAGGGAAAACGCGACGCGTTTGTCTTTCTTTTTTTTCTTCTTGACGTTTTTGAATGCCGAGGAATCAGCCGAACTCTTCTTCATCTTTCGTTTCCTGCAAATAACAAATACATTTATTATTCTCTAAATAAAGCGTATACAATTTTTTTTTTATTCTTTTTCTTTTTAAATTTTTAATTTTTTGTTCAACGAATATTAATCTTCCAACATCTCCTACGTCCACGTTTTACACAAATATAAATCTAAAAAAACAAACATAACATTCTAGATACATTCGGATCGCAGAAGTCAGAATAAAAGATTAAAATTAGAGAAAAAAGAAATGACACTTATATTTAAAGGACAATAAATATATTGTTTGATCAGGAGACAAGAATTCATTGCTCGACCGATTCCTGGATATTCAAGACGATAAAAAAAGAAATAGAAGAAACAAAGGGAGGAAAAGGACAACCCGCTCGCAAGCTCGAGAGGAAGAAAGAGAATGTACAAATGAAACAAAATAACAAACGATGATTGAAAGAGAGAGATAGAGAGAAAATAGATGAAATTATTAATATAATAATGATAACTTAAAGAGAAGAGAGAGAGAAGATTTTTTTAACGTTATAAATTATTAATCGCGCAGGGCGCGCGATTTAGAGGCGAGGAATATAACTTAATCTACTGATAGGAATATCGACAAACAAATGTACAAAATCGATTTATTGCTAAATGTTAGTATTCTAGAGTATTTTACCGTCGAAGAATCGCGTGAAAAGCAAACATTATACTAAGCTCGGCTAAGATTGTACATCCTGGCAGATTAAGCTAAAGATTAAAAGAAAATTCAAAGCCATTCCGCCGAGAAGAAAACTATATAAAAAAAAATTGGAAGAATCGATTAATATGGAAAATAAGAAGAAGACACTTCAGCCATCATTCCAGCCTCGGAAACTATTTCACTCTTCTTTTGAACGTCATCTGAAAGATTATCAATATATATTCAACGACTCTCGCGCATACAACTTTACCGCTTTTTTTCTCATCACATTCACAATCTTCGAGACCGACAAATCGGTATTTATTGCCAAACCTTTTCGAGCTTGGTTGCATCGAACTCGGATAATTATGATTAGATTTCCTTCTCTTCGCAGTTTTTAATGATGTAAGAAAACGAACCAGGAACATAATTGATTATATATTTTTGTTTCCCTGAAAGAGGATACAGTCTTTCACTGTTACAGCTATCAGTCAATTGGAACGCAAGGCAATCTGAAAAAATACGATTGAAATCGGCCAGGTTGACCGAATTCGTGCAACCAAGCTTGAGTAGCTGCTGATCAGAAGACTCACCGAATGAGATTCGCGTGACGATGGACGAGTAGACAACATAAATACGCGCACAATATTTCAATCACGAAATCACGAATGAAATCGCAGGGAAAAGAAAGTACACGGAACATGGCAGAACG